TCTGAACCCCCTCCCGGACTCTGACCAGGCCTTTGACTGCTCTTCCTGCTTTCATTCATCCCTCAAGGCCTACATAACAGCTAGGGCTGCGTCCCTAGGAGGGCCTCACTTTGCTATCACCTGCCATCCAGTCTGGCTTGACAGGCAGTGGTACCCTCCATGCACAGAAGGCAGGGACAGGTCCAAGGTAGGTGGGAGAGGGCTGCATGAGGTGGCATGGGGGCATCCCCTGCTCCTYACCAGGGGCTGCAGCTGATCTCTCTCATGAGCCTGTTGACACCTTCTCCCAACAGCTGAACCAAGATGCCTCTTCTCTAGTTCCAACCCCAGTTTACTCTCTGTTCATTGGGCACCATCTTGCACCCTGTGAGGCAGAACTGTTCAGGAAGGAAGGGCTGGCAGGGAAGAGACCAAGCTGGGTCTGGGAGCTGAGGGATCCTCAATGCAGGACCTTGGCTGTAGTTTCCCTCTGTACAATGAGGAGATGAGCATATTGGTCTCAGCTTGGTGAGTTTTATTTTTTATCTTTGACAAAGTTGTTTCAAACAAGTTACCCGTAATGTAGAAGAGTTAGAAAATGCACTCTGGGTTCCTATTGGAACCCCAGTTTCTTTGCTGGTGCATGTGTGGAATTTCAGCCCACATACTGTTCTGTTGGGGTCTACCTACAGCAAGGTCACTCTGGTCACCTTGAGGCTGGCCTTGCCTACTACCCTGGACTGGCTGAAAACAGGTTTCTGTTTGCTCTTGGAGGAGGCAACCTGCCTACTTGGGCCTGGTCTAGCTATTGCCTTTCCTTACCTCCAGGCTGTTGCTTTAGGGCAGAGTGGGGAACAGGGCCAGTTCCTCAAGTTATGGCAAGTGGAGGCCTGGGGATGAAGAGTAGGGAGGGCTGAATAGACTGGTTGAACACAGGGTCCTAGACCCTTACCTCCATTTGTCTCTTCTTCCCCAAATGGTATACTGGAAAGAACATGAGATGCAACATTAGGCACGCCTGGGTCTAAACCTTTAGCTGTGTTACCTTAGGCAAATCAGTTAGCTTTTCTGAGCCTTGATTTCTTCATATGTAAAATACTCACCTTCTGAAGCTACATAGAGATAAAGTGAGCTAATGCAGTTACAAGGCCAATCCATGAGCACACTGTTAGCTTCAAAAAAGGACAACCCTTCTTAGAAGTGGGGAGTTGAGATTCACACCTAGACTGACTCCTTTTTTTTTTTTTTTTTTTTGAAATTAGGGATTGAACCAAAGGATGCTTAATCACTGAGCCACATCCCCAGCCCATTTTATTTTATTTTATTTTTTGATACTGAGGATTAAATCCAGGGATGCTTAACCACTGGGCCACATTCCCAGCAACCCCCCACCCCATTTTTTTTTTTTTGAGACAGGATCTTGCTGAGTTGTTTAGGGCTGCATTAAGTTGCTAAGGCTGGCTTTGAACTCTCGATCCTCCTGCCTCAGCCTCCTGAGCTGCTGGGATTATGGGTATACACCCTGACACTCCGCTAGACTGATGCTTAAGTCCAGTGCTCTCTGCTTCCCAGGGCTGCCTCTGCTGTGGGCTTGAGAAGCTAGAACAGAGGCAAGGAGCCCACCCAGTGGGGAGAGAGGCTTGGTCCTCCTGTGACACTGTGTGGGGTCCAGCTCCTGCCGCGCCTCTGGCCCTGCAGAGTTGTGAGGAATCTGGGGCTGAGCTGGTGGCCTTTTTTGGGGCCTGTGGGCCTGGGCCTATGGGCCTGGGCCTATTTGCATGGAGGTTATAAATAGTGGGCACACCTTGCTTCTGTGCTGCTGCCTCGCCCCTCACCTTCCCGCCACAGCTCAGACACCACGAGGTAGGTGAGTAATTCACACTGCATTGTGCAGAGGGGCACCTGTGGCCCAGAGAGGCCCTGGACCTCTCTCAGGATCACACAGTAATGGAAGCAGATGCCAGCTCATGGTGACTGTCTCCTTCCTGGGGTCTGGAGATTCCAGTTTAGGGCTGAGGGAATGGGAACGTTGGGCCAGGCCTTTGACCTGGTTTTAGTCGTAGCAAGTTGGGGCTACAGGCTCTGGACCTAAGGTTACTACTGAGAAGCCCCATGGCAGCTCACCAAGACCATGGATCCCCTGTGCTTGTGCACTGTGGCCTAGCTACACAGTTTTAGGGCTCGGGCCGCAGCCCGCTGTGGTTGTGGTTTTCCCTCAGTGGCTTCTGTGAGCAGCAACTGCTCAGATTGTGAGCCCGAGGGCAGGTTTAGGGCAGCCCGCAGAACAGGGCAGGGGGCCAGTCCTGGCTCTGCCTCACCCTCTCTGACACCCTCTTCTCCTCCATATAGTCCTGGTCACATAGCTCCTGCTGGCCAAGCTGGGGACAAGGGGAGCCATGGAGCCTACAGGCCATCAGGACCAGGCCTCAGGGGAAGGTGGTAGGGAGGAGGAGTTGACCTGCAGGTGTGCTGAGTGCCTGGCGCCCCAGGATGAGTTGCCAAATGTTTCTACAGACTTGGTTTCCTTGTTGAGCAGTGGGGACAGAGCCAGGACCGTCTCCCCAGGCTGGTGGGCAGGCAGAAGCCTTCATTGGGGGAGTGACTTCATTTTGTAGCTTGGAAAGGGAGGTACATGGATGACGGATGGGTGCTCCCAAGTGCAAGGGGGTGATATTGATGAGAGGACCCCCTCTCTGGGGCCTATCAGGTTGGTGTTGATCCTCATCAGCATGATGACCCTTGAACTAAGGGACTATTCCTCATCTGGAAGATGGGGGAGGGGAGACTTGTACAGTCCTGCAGCCAAGGCAGCATTGATATTGTGGGTGTCGCATCCAGCCAGACTGACTGTGATTTTGCCACCTGGTCAGCCCTCAGCCCGTCTCCCAGGAGCCAAGGCCACAGCATCTTTTTCCTTCATTTTCTCTGCCCTCCTGTCACTCAGCCCTCCCTCATCCTCTCACTACCCCAGAAAGCTGCTCACTACCCCAGCTCTCTGTCTCCTTGTGAGGGGCAAGGCTGAGCTGTGTCTCTTAATGTGTAGACGCAGGCCTGTGGCCAGTGTGTGCTGTGCAGGGATCTTGCTTATCACCTGAGACCCCAGGCAGCATTCATCTGGATGCTCGATGCCTTGGACCTCAGGGCTAGGCAAAGCAGCCCAGGGGAAAGATACCCTTTTTGCCTGGGAGTTTGGGACACACACCCAGACTCCTACACGTGGGCTCTAGGCCAGGCCCATGCAGCTTCTTTTCACTCTTACCTCTAACTACTCCTACCACGTGCCAGCCACTCCCATGGCCTCACAGGCACATGCATTTCTCTGGCTACATAAGTCACATTTGTGCATACCCATCGCACCCACATGTACACTCACGTCCCCCAGCACACACATGCTCACATGTGCTCCAGCTATGGGATGAACCCCTAGCAGGCCACTGCTGGCTCCCCCTCCCCACCTGCCAAGAGGTTGTGTGCAGCTGGCCTGGGACCTGGTACTCTCAGGCCAGAGGCTTTGAGGCCTTGGCTTCTTATTCCCACTGAATAGGAGCCAGAGCAGGGGATGTAGTTGGATCTGCCTCACCAGGTTCCTTCGCTCTGCTCTGGCAACTGGCCCCAGAGGACTGGCCGGGCACATTGGGCTGGGCTGCAGGCTGAGGTCAGTGTTTCCTGTGAGCTCATCTGGGCTGGGAGTTCCCAGCAGACCTGGCCACTATGCTGGCTGCCTTGTGCAGGAGCTGGAGGGGGCTGTTTGGGGGTTGGGCAGCTGCTGTATGAACGCATGTTGTATGCAGGTAATGTTCAGGGTGGAATGAGCATGAATGAGCATTCGTTCAACTATGGTTATGGAGCACCCGGACGTGGGGCCAAGAGCCAGTGTCCATATAGGAAGGAGTATGAGTGTGCACCTGTGGCCTTCCACATGAATGTCCTCCACAAATGGCAACCCAGGAGGACCCTGAGAATCAACCTCCTGTAATGACCCTTGACTGAGGAATAGTGAAGAAAGAGGACAGTGTGGAAACTGGCATTACAGTCAATATTAAAATACAACCAGGCACCATGGTGCATGCCTGTAATCCCAGCAGCTCGGGAGACTGAGGCAGGAAAATCGTGAGTTCAGAGTCAGCCTCAACAACTTAGCAAAGCCCTAAGAAACTCAGTGAGATCCTGTCTCTAAATAAAATATTAGAAAGGGCTGGGCACGTGGCTCAGTGGTTCAGTGCCCCTGGGTTCAATCCCTGGTACCCAAAAAAAGAAAAAAGAAAAAAATTAAAATACAGTTTTACATTTGGGGAAAAAAAAATTCATTTTGAAAATGCAGGCAGCGGGAGGCATGTGATGCCAAGGGGGGAGTTCAGAAGGGTCAAGTACACTGATGTGGGCAGAGCCTCTGACTGCCCTGGTCCTGGAACAAAGTAGGTGCTAAGTTAGTGGAACCCCTGCTTTTAGTTGTGGCTAAACCTCAGAGTTTCATTTTTCCGTGGGGGTGCTCACTTGGCCCCATTTGTCTGCCTGGGTAGTTATGAGCAAAATCAGAGCCAAGAAGGGCTGCCAGGGGCAGGGTGAGAGGAGGTGCTCTCTTGTTCCTCTTGCTGGATGATTGCTGGCACTGAGATGCAGGAGCCCAGTGATTGGCTACTGACAGAGGCACTGACTGAGTGACCCCAAATGAATGCTTCAGAGGTCACAGACTCAGATGCCTCCAAGGTGCAGGTTTTGGAGAGCAGTGAAGACAGTGTCCCTGGCCTGGTGTCACTTGATAAAGAGGCAGCCATCCAGAGGCTGTTGTCCAGTTGACCTAGTGGCACATCTTCCAGTTTTACCAGGGGTGCCTCAAGTCCAGACATACATAAAACATCCCCATGTTTACCATTGGCAACTAGGACTAGTGTATTTTCCACACCATGTGGGCCAAGTCCAAAGGAGTGGGAGCCCCGGGGGCAGTAGGTACCTGAGCATGTCCTGGGGCTGTCCCAGTGCTGCCTGGCTTCATCAGCCCTCTACATCCAACCCTGCTGCAGGCCCCACCATGGCACCGTTCCTGCGCATCGCCTTCAACTCCTACGAGCTGGGCTCCCTGCAGGTTGAGGATGAGGCTAACCAGCCCTTCTGTGCTGTGAAGATGAAGGAGGCTCTCAGCACAGGTAGGGCCGAAGCCCAGACCCTGGGGTGGCGGTGTGAGGCTCAGCAGGAGGGGCCAGGGGCCTTTCTTTGTTCTGTGGAACCTCTAAGGTGTCTTCTCTTCCTTGTTCTTATCTCCCTGCCCAGCTATGGATGCAGGAAAGCTGAGGCCACAGGGTCTCAAGGCTTGGCTAAATTGAACCCCACCAGGCTTTATTGGTTGTTCCACCTAACCGTTTCCACATGTCCATCTGAGGACCCTGTCATGCTCCAGGACCATCCAAGTCCTTCCCTCATGGGGTTCACAGTTAGGTGGGGAGCTGGACATATCACCAGGCAATGAGTCCTGTGGAGAGGAAAGCCACAGAGGGCACCACCATGGCCTAGGCTTAGGAGGACTTCCTGGAGGAGGAGGCACACTTCCTACCAGTCCCTTGTGCTTCTGCTCACCTCTAAGACCCAGCTGACTGTCCATTCCTCCAGGAAGCCTTCCCTGACCCTTAGGCTGGGTCAGGCCACTTGACCATGGATGGCCTTAGAACCACTGGCCTTGCCTTCTTTAATTTCGTCACAGCTGTGACTTAAGTGGTTACTCAAGGAATGCCTTGGTTTGTGTCTCTGCCCTGGACGGGGGCTCCAGGAGGACAGGCCCCAGGTTTGACTTTTCTTTCTGCCATGTTCCTCACCTCCCGTGCTGTGGCTGGCACTTGGCAACTCTCAACAGGGGTTCACTGAGTGAATGCCTGAGGGAAGGGGACACTTCAGTGAAGCTGGAGCAAAAGGGTCACAGGAGGGGAAATAGCAAGAGCAAAGCCCTAGAGGTGGACCCTGCTAGGGACAGTTCAGTGTTCTGGGGCATTCTATGGAGTCACAGCAGATCCTGGGGACAGGAGAGGCAGGCAGGGTGAAGACTGGGGAGGGTGGGACACAGGGTCCTTGCTGACCTTACCTGCCTGACCCCATTGCAGAACGAGGGAAGACGCTGGTGCAGAAGAAGCCGACCATGTATCCTGAGTGGAAGACCACGTTTGATGCTCACATCTACGAGGGCCGCGTCATCCAGATTGTGCTGATGCGGGCAGCTGAGGACCCAGTGTCGGAGGTGACCGTGGGCGTGTCGGTGCTGGCCGAACGCTGCAAGAAGAACAACGGCAAGGCTGAGTTCTGGGTGAGGGGCTTGTGTGTGTGGGACCTACTGAGGGCATCTGTGGGGGAGCCCAGCTGCCAGTGCAGATCTGCTACCAGTGCAGCTCGGGCTCCAGTTCCTGGCTTCAGGTCCCCAGCTTCTCTGAGCCTCTCTTTCCACTTCTGTGAAGGAGGAGCTGCTTAAAGTTCTTACCTCAGGGTCTGTTGTTGGATGAAACGAGCATCTGATGGTCAAGGGCTTCTGGATGTCAAGAACCTGACACATAGCTGGGCATGGTGGCCCACAGCTGGGCATGGKGGCGCACACCTRTAATCYCAGTGGCTCSGGAGGCTGAGGCAGGAGGATTGGGAGTTCAAAGCCAGCCTTAGCAAAAGCGGGGTGCTAAGCAACTCAGTGAGATGCCGTCTCTAAATAAAATATAAAATAGGGCTAGGGATGTGGCTCAGTGGTCAAGTGCTCCTGAATTCAACTCCCAGTACAAAAAAAAAAAAAAAAGAACCTGACACATACTGGGTACTAAAGGCAGTCACCCTCATTGTTGTGACTATTTTTTTCCCTTTTAATTTTGAAAAGGCAGGATATGCACATAGTGAAACATTTCAAACTCTGTGAAAGGGTGTGTACCTTCCCCMAAACCAGGCCACAGGCTCCTTCTCAGAGGCACCCATTGTTCCAGTTCTTTTTAGAATCCTTGCAGATACACCAGGCCTAGGCAGGCGTGGTGGGGGGTTCCTCCTGATCGGCAGCAGAAAGGAGGTGGGACAAGGGGAAGGCTGAGGACACCACTCACTCACCTGCCGAAACTGGGACTCAGTGTAGGCCTGTGGTCACATGGCCACATGCAGCTGTGCCCGTGTTCTGGGTGCTGGTGCTGGAAGAAAACCCCCCTGGGTTACACATGGAYTCCTACAACTCAGATTTCTCCACTGGAAAGGCCTCGTGACCACTGGAGGCTCTGATCAGCCTCCAGTGAGAAATGAAGGGGTCAAGATAAGAGAGAGGCTGACACAGGGTCTGTACTGACCCTTGGCCAATCAAGCAGGGACAGAGGGCCCTCTGGCTATGTGCTTTCCCCACTCCCCTAAGGGAGGATGTCCCTTACCAGGTCTGGGTCCTGGGGGAGGTGAGGAAATAGAGGCTCAGGTCCTGCCTTCCAGATTGTCCAGTCCATGAGGAGCCCCGTGCCAGAGAGAACCAGTGTGGGTGTGGTAGGCTGAGTATGTCTGTGTCTCTGCATGGCATGTGGGGTAGCAAGCCTCCATTCTAAGCTCCTCGCTGTGGACAGCAATGGGTGAGGGTGGGGAGTTTCCTTTCCCACTCTGTTCCCAGGCTCTGTGGTCTGGCTGGGTGTGGGCTGGATCCTTTCACTTCCCCAAATGTAATAATACCCCTGGGTGCAGACTGGGGCGGGGCTTGGGGTGGGGCCCTGCCCACACTGGGCAGACAGGTGTCTGATTAGGTTTTAGGGGGCTCCCTTGGCCTCAGGGAGGCCAAGGAACCCCAGCCATGGGGGCGGGTTCTGAGAGTCTGATCTGGCCCAGGCCCGCCTCACTGAGCTTAATGGCCCCTCCTCTTAYCCCCACAGCTGGACCTACAGCCCCAGGCCAAAGTGTTGATGTCTGTGCAGTATTTCCTGGAGGACGGAGGTAAGACCATCCATCCATCGGGACTAAGGACAGGGCTTACCTGCTGGGCAGAGGCCAGAGCCAGGCCAGCACCAAGGCCCAGGGAAGCAGCCCCCTCAGCAGTCCCATCTAGGATCAATCTAGAAGGGACTGCAGGAGCGCTACCCCTCCTGGACACTGGGGCTGACTTCATCACTCTGTGACCCCCAGATTGCAAGCAGTCTATGCGTAGTGAGGACGAGGCCAAGTTTCCAACAATGAACCGCCGTGGAGCCATCAAGCAGGCCAAGATCCACTACATCAAAAATCATGAGTTCATCGCCACCTTCTTTAGGCAGCCCACCTTCTGTTCTGTGTGCAGGGACTTTGTTTGGTGAGGGCTGGGTACCTGCAGGGAGTGGTGCAGAGTAGGGGTTGCCCAACCCCAGCGTTCCCTGCACTCACCCTGCTGGTTTACCTTTTAGGGGCCTCAACAAGCAAGGCTACAAATGCAGGCGTAAGTACCTCCGCAGCCTAGTTTGTGCATGAGAGAGTGTGCTTACCCGTGGGTCCCCGGGTCTGGTCCGGGTGGTGTGTGTGGACAGGGGCTCTGCATCAGTGAGTGTGTACCTGCCAGCACTCTCCCGTCAGACTGTGTGTGCAGCTGTAATAGCCATGTTTAGTGAGCCCCAGGGCTGGCTTGCTGCAGCTCATCAAAGCCAGTCCTGTGCATACCTTCCCCGCTCTGTGCTTGGGACATCAGGGCAGTAGACTAAAATAGGCTGCAGTCAAGTATTATACAAAAATCAAGCGAGACCACTTATCAGGGCCCTTTCCCCACAAAAGGGTGGTTCTGAGGCCTTTGCTAGTGCCCCTGGCTGTGGGCTTCCCATGGATATGAGTATCTCTGGTGCACAGTTGCGTGCGCACCTTTCCCTGAATGTGCGCCTTTCCCTGTATGCACTGAGCTCTGCAGCTGGGGTTATGAGCAACAGGCTGATCTACTACTAGCTGTAGGGCCTCGGGCAAATTACTTGACCTCTCTGTGCTTTAGCTTCCTTATCCACAAATTAGAGCTAATAGTGTGAAGATCCAGTGGGTAAAATATGTAAAGCTGTATTCTAAGTCCCTGGCACGGGGTAAGCATTCAGTCTAAGACCATTGTCATGGTTGCTCATGCTTTAGATGTGTATGTTGGGGCCTGTCTCAGTGCACATGAGAGTGCATGCTTAGGAACAGTATGCTGTCCTGTGACATAGAAGAGGGAAAAAGGGCTCTCTTGCCCCTCTCGTCCTCCTATTTGCATTCCCCCCTCACTTCTTCCCACCCCTGCCTACCAGGTCCATGAGCCTTCCCTAATTTCTATAGACGGGCCTATCTCCCCTGCCCTACCCTCTCCTGGCCCTTCCTGCGTAGGCTGGTAGGAGGAGGGAAAAATGGAGCCTTGGGCCCTAGGCCTCTGTGGGGTGAGGGTGTGGGAGGTCAGGGAGAAGGCTGGCTTTGTGTAGAGGGTTGGACCAGGCTGGCAGACGCTGGCTTACGACTGTCCGGCCTGGTTCCTTCCCCTCCTCCTCCTGGGCCTGTGCCTCTTCAAGAATGCAATGCTGCCATCCACAAGAAATGTATTGACAAGATCATTGGCCGGTGCACCGGCACTGCCGCCAACAGCCGGGACACTATCGTGAGCTGGGGCAGGGAATAGGGGGTTGGGGGCTTGGGGGACTTGGGTGGGTGGGAGGGATCTGGGCCCTCCGCACCCTTCCCTGTGGGATTTACCTTGCCTCTCCATTTTTCTTAGTCTTTCTTTGTACTCCTCCTTGGGCCTCTGATTTCCCAGCCTCCCAGTGGAGCCCTCGTGGGCATCTTGGAATGCACTGGGTTGGRGGAGAGGGAAACATTGAGGAAGGGGCTGGAGCTGGCAGCTCAAGGTGATGCCCTCTTCCCTCCAGTTCCAGAAAGAACGCTTCAACATTGACATGCCGCACCGGTTCAAGGTCAACAACTATATGAGCCCCACCTTCTGTGACCACTGTGGCAGCCTGCTGTGGGGGCTGGTGAAGCAGGGATTGAAATGTGAAGGTGCGTACCACTCAGCTCCCCGTGCTGCCCACCTGGACCCCGAGAACCCCAGCTATCTTGTGCAGCCTTCACCCCCTTACCCTGAGATGGGGCCTGAAGGTCAAAGGAATCCCATCTGTGTACACCTCATTTGGGAATTTCACATGGGTGAGCCTCAGTGGCCTCTCCCCACTGGCCTGACTGGTACTGCTATTTACCTGTTTGTGACCACCAGACAGATTGCTCTGTCTCTCTGAGCTGGATCCTCAAGTGTAAAATGGGGAGTGGGGCGCAGGCAGGAGGAATAGGACCCAGAGACTCTCCGAGAAGGTCAGGTGTCTGGAAGGCATTTAGCCAAGATCTGCTGTGCACTAGCAGGTACTTGGTGACCAAATGTGTCCCCTAGACCTCTCCTCATCCCCAGAGTAAAAACTAGGAGTAAAACAGTTCATCTCAGTTGTCCCAGACAATCTTTAAAGCATTTAGGTCCCTTCCTGGGGATGTAGCTCAGGGGTAGAGTACTTGTCTATCTTCTCCTTTTTCTGTTTTTTTTTTCTTAAATCATGAAATATTTGAAATGTTCAAATACAGATATTTTCCCTCCTAAAGACAGGAAGCCTAGAAGATCCCACCAAAGCCCTTTCTCCTGCTTCCTCCTCTACCCCTTCCTACCCTTGGTTGAACCCCCAAGACTTATGGCTCTGCTTCTTCTTCACCCCAGACTGTGGCATGAACGTGCACCATAAATGCCGGGAGAAGGTAGCCAACCTCTGTGGTATCAACCAGAAGCTCTTAGCTGAAGCCTTGAACCAAGTCAGCCAGGTGGGCAAGTGCTGTGGGACTCTGGGACCCTGGTCACAGAGGGTAGTCTGAATTGGCAGCAGTTTGGGGGAACCCCAGTGGTCAGTGAATCACTTCTGGAAGATCTGATTCAAGAATTTAGGCAGCAGAACTGGGCACAGTGATGTACTCCTGTAATCCCAGTTGCTTGGGAGCCTGAGGGAAGAGGATTGCAAATTCGGGGCCAGCCTCAGCAACTTGGTGTGGCCCTAAGCAACTTAAGGGCTGGGGATGTGGCTCAGTGGTAAAGAACCCTTGGGTTCAATCTCTAGGAAGGAAGGGAGAGAAAATGAATGAATGAATCAATTATTAAGACAGTTTTTTTTTTCCCCCTGAGGGTGAATCTGGGAAACTGCAGGGTTAGAACACTGTGAATTAAGATTATGTGTGTATGGCTCAAGGATGCCACCGTAAAACTTTAAAGGAAAATTCTAGAATCAGTAAAAAAAAAAGAAAGAAAGAAAGAAAGAAAAGAAAAAAAGACATTTGTAAAATGTATCGAGTAACTGTTAGGAAGGTGGAGTTTAATTTACAAAGCTTCTCTTTGTGATCAGTGCCTTCCTGACCTCTGAGGCTTCCCCGTGCTGCTGGGAGAGTAAGAAAGGGATGGGGAGACATACTTGTGCATGCACACACCACTGGGGTGTTCTGGACCCTGCTTCTTCTGTCTTCCTTGGTGTTGAGGGAGAGGTATGGTTGAGTGCTCTCTCTGGTCTGGGAGTTCTGACAGTGTTCTGACTGCTTGGCCCTCTGCTTCTGCCCCCTCCTCAGAGATCCTCCAAGAAGCTGGACTCAGAATCTCCGGAGCCTGTTGGGATATACCAGGGTTTCGAGAAGAAGCCAGGAGTCTCTGGGGACGATGCCCCAGGTGAAACTGAGCCCAATCCCCCCCTTAAAGTTCCCACCTTCCAACAGGGAAAAGAAACGGGTGTACCCTCCCTCCCATTACCGAGTGAGTTCTAGCAAAAGGTGTAGCCTATTGGGGAGCCAGGCCTCTTCCCTTCCAGTATTCCTTACTTAACCCATCCTGGATCCCAGGGAAGGGGACTATTCCAGACCAAGATCTTACAGGCACCATCTCTCAAGCAGACAACAGTGAGACGTATGGCAAAATCTGGGAGGGAAGCTCCAGGTGCCGCATCGAGAACTTCACTTTCCACAAGATCCTGGGCAAAGGCAGCTTTGGGAAGGTAAGTCCTGGGTAGCCCAAGACATATGGGCTCAGGAGTCTAGGGCCACCTGCCTCCCAAACTACCCTGGCTTCTTTCTGGCTGGGCATCTATGGGTGGCCTGTGCCCAGTCCCATCATGCTCATTATCCGCCCCCCCTCACCCCGCAGGTGCTACTTGCAGAGCTGAAGGGCAAAGGACAGTTCTTTGCCATCAAGGCCCTCAARAAGGACGTGGTTCTGATCGATGATGACGTGGAGTGCACCATGGTGGAGAAGCGAGTGCTGGCGCTCGCCGGGGAGAATCCCTTCCTCACCCACCTCTTTTGCACCTTTCAGACCAAGGTGCCTGGCCTTCCACCCATCATTGYCCAAGTGCCACAGCCCCCTTAGACTCCCCTACAGCCAGGCCTCACCTTCCTTCTAGATCGCTTAAGGCAGGGCCATGTCTTCCCTGCTCATACCTCCCAGGGCTGAGTTGCCCCCCTCAGTCCAGAACCTGTTCTCTCTACTTTCTTGCTGTCCTGCCTCTGATTCTGCCCCCTCCCCAGAGATCCTCCAAGAAGCTGGACTCAGAATCTCCGGAGCCTGTTGGGACATACCAGGGTTTCGAGAAGAAGCCAGGAGTCTCTGGAGACGATGCCCCGGGGAGAAACTGAGCCCAATCCCCCCTTTAAAGTTCCCACCCTCTGCCCCACCCCAGGACCACCTGTTCTTTGTGATGGAGTTCCTCAGCGGGGGAGATCTGATGTATCACATCCAGGATAAAGGTCGCTTTGAACTCTACCGGGCCACGTACGTAGACAGTCCTGTGGTGGGGAGGGACATTGGCTCAGAGGGCATTGCCACTTTGGCCTGCTTTCCGGCTTTCCTCTCCCTGGAGAAGCCAGCCAGACTAGAGCTGGAGCTGGGGAGCCCGGGGGACAGCCTGGGCTGTCCACATGTGGGAAGCACTGGTGTGGAGTGCGTTTTGGCTGAGGGAACAGCACAAACATGCCAGGTCCTGTCCCCTTCTTGGGTTTCAGCCAGAGMAGCCGCATAGGTAGTGGTCCTGCCCAACTCCAGATCCTGGAGTGTGGTCCCTAGACTAGCATGGTGACCCTTTCCCCATTTGCATGCCCCCCACCCCACTAACCGTATGCATGTGTGTGCACATGTGTATATYGTGTACATCGTACTCTGTGACAGAATCGGCTTATTTGGAGCTTTCCCTTCAAAATTTTGTGCTCGGGCTGCCAGCCCTCGCTTGCCTGATCTGATACAAGATGTGCTTGATCAGGTCCAGGTTGTCTATGAGTTATTTGCAGCATTTCCTGCCCCTAAGGGTGGGAGGGAGGGCCCAAGGAGAAGCGGACTAGTGGGTAAGAATTCTGGAACACTGTCTCTCTTACCCAGGTTTTATGCAGCTGAGATAATCTGTGGACTGCAGTTTCTACATCACAAAGGGATCATTTACAGGTGCAGAGGTGGGGCCGTGGGGGGGCTCTTTATAGGGGTGGCATATCCTTGCTTCAAAGAGGCCTGGCCCAGTCACAGTTTCATTGCTGCGTGGAGTGAGCCTTTAGCTGGGTTTTTGCCTAAACCCCCATTCCAGTGCTAGAATTCTTATGGCCCCTCAGCTGAAGCTGGCACAGCTCCAGGACCTGGGAACTCTCTGCCTATCCTTGGTGCCATTAATAGGCACAGTGTCTTTTTTTCTTGGACCCATTAGTCTTTGCTGAAGCCCCAWCTGGGCAATCTAAGCTTCCACCCATTGGAACTGGTTCCACAGGGACTGGTTCCATAAATTCTTGTGCAATCAATTATAGTTACATCCTATGATGGAATGTTCTATGCCCATCAAAAAAGCAGAGATATGGAGGATCATGAATTCGAAGACAGCCTCAGCAACTTAGCAAGGCCCTAGCAACTCAGTGAGACCCTGTCTCTAAATAAAATATAAAAAAGGGCTGGGGATGGGGCTCAGTAGTTCAGYTCCCCTGTATTCAATCCCCAGTACAAAAGAAAAAGAAAAAACAGAGGCCATGCTCTATACACTGATGTGGGGTAAAGCCCAGCTATGTTGTCAAATAGAAAACCAACCCATGGTACTGTGTGTTTCAAATAGTAGCATTTGGTTTTATTTTATTTATTTTATTTTTAGTTGTAGGTGGACATGATACCATTTATTTATTTATTTATTTATTTATTTATTTATTTTTATGTGGTGCTGAGGATCGAACCCAGTGCCTCACTCATGCTAAGCAAGCGCTCCACCACTGAGCCCAGAATTCAGTTTTTCAAAGGTGGGGGTTAGGTGCACAGTGCTCTTGTCCATGCCTAGAATTGCTCCAGGGAGAAAGGTGGTGCTTAGTGAAAGATAAACTTTGAAATGTTTAGTGTTTGTTTCTTTGTGCATCAATTATCTACTCAAATAACTAAAGACATAAAAATGGTTGTGGTTCCTGAGCTGGGGTTCACATCTGTTAYCAGTTAGATGACCCAGCGCAAGTGATAACCCCCTCTTTCGAGCCTCATTTTGGCTCTGGGGAGTAGGATCTCTTGTGTCCAGCATTTAGTGCACAGTAGGTGCCTTATCAGGAGCACTGGGGTGTAGCATCTCTTTCCTTTTCTGCTTCCCATTTGCTTTCTCATTCTTTTATACTCTTTGGGAAAGTCCTGGACTTATTGGGCCCCAAATGGGCTCATTGTGGGAAGTCTTAGGGAGGAGAGGAATTGGCCCCTGATGACACACTGTCCTGCCCTTCCTCTTCAGGGACCTCAAGTTGGACAATGTGATGCTAGACCGGCATGGCCATATCAAGATTGCCGACTTTGGGATGTGCAAAGAGAACATATTTGGGGAGAACCTAGCCAGCACCTTCTGTGGCACCCCAGACTACATCGCCCCTGAGGTAAGTGGATACCTTTCCGCCCCCAGTCCAGTCAGATACCTTGCCTCAGCAGGGTGAGGCCCGGGAAGGCTCCCTGAGGGTGAAGGGGCCTAGCCAGGGCACATGCTCAGGGTCCTGTCTGCATTGGTACCTTGTCCCTGACCACTACTTCCCCCCAGATCCTGCAGGGCCTGAAGTACACATTCTCTGTGGACTGGTGGTCCTTTGGGGTCCTCCTCTACGAAATGCTGATCGGTCAGTCCCCCTTCCATGGTGATGATGAGGACGAACTCTTCGAGTCCATACGTTTGGACACACCGCATTATCCCCGTTGGATCACCAAAGAGTCCAAGGACATCCTGGAGAAGGTGGGGGCTGGGCTGGGCCTGGCAGACATTGGCTGTAGGAAGGCAGCACCTTCCTGGCTCTGGAACAGCAGCTTTGCTATTCCATATTGGGGGTCTTGCTCTCTCACCAGGCTCCCAGGAGCTCCTGTTGAGTCCCATGCGTGGAATCAGCCTGGCATGGTGACTATAGGCTCAGGGTCAGGATATAGACAGACCTGAACCAAACCCTGGCTCTGCCTGTGACTAGCTGATGACCATGGGCAGGTCACTTAACCCTCCTCTCTGATTCTGTCTCCTTATCTGCAAAATGGGGTTGAGAGAACCTACCTCACAGAGTTATTGGGAAGTAAATAGAAACCTAGGATACTAACAGTCAATAAATGGCACTGCTTTTACTCATCAGGCCCACCTTCAGAGTCCTAGATGCTCCAGACCAGGACCTGTTGTCTCAGGCACCCAGAAGTAGCCTCCCTCCACACCAGAGTTCCCTGGGTTACATCACTATGCTGAGCCAGGCCCGCCCTGGCATCCCCAGGGCCTGCTGGCAATTTGTTAAAGCTCCATTTTCCCGAGAATACTAACCAGGGCCCCTGCTGGGTTGCAGTTATTTGAAAGGGACCCACCCAAGAGGCTGGGAATGACAGGAAACATCAGACTCCACCCCTTCTTCAAGACCATCAACTGGACTCTGCTGGAGAAGAGGAAGGTGGAGCCGCCCTTCAGGCCCAAAGTGGTATGTGATTCCATCCCTACGCTGCCTGCCATCCGGGTGGGCTCCTTCTCCTTTGCATGCCTCCCTCCTGCATCATTCAACACACTCTCCTCTTGTCCGTTTTTCCAGCAAACCTTCTTCCCTGTTCTCCCCTGGGACACTTAGCCATAGCCTCTGCACTTCTGTTCTCATCCCCTCTCCTTGCTCAATCATTCAACAAACATTGGGGACTGTGGATCCCACTGCCTTTTAATATATTTTTTAGCACTTGCTGTGAGCAGGGGACTATACTTTGAGTTTCAGAGTTAAGGCCTCATTCCCTCTCTTTATCCATCCATCCAACACAATTTCCAGTAAATTTTGGAAATGCTAAGTCCTGCTGGGTACAGAGCACAGGGTTGGGTTGTACCACCAGGGACACAGTCTCAGAGCTGGAGGAGCCCATATGAGGCAAATAAGACTTGCACACTGATGATAATCTGTGACATAAGAGTCTGATAATTACTTGCTGGGAGCATTGGCGCAGGCCTGTAATCCCAGTGACTTAGGGAGGCTGAAGCAGGAAGATCACAAGTTCAGAGCCAGCATCAGCAATTTAGTGAGGCCCTAAGCAACTCAGTGAGTCCCTGTTTCTAAATAAAATACCAAAAAAAAAAAAAAAAAAAAACAGCTGGGGATGTGTGTGTATGATAGATATCACTGACCATTATGATCAGTTGTTATTGGGAGGATCTGTCGAAGGAGCTCTGAGTACAGGAAACGAGGTGGTCTGAAAGGTGCCCTTGAAAGAAGTGGTATGTGAGTGGTCTAGGGAGAGAAGGCCTGGCAGAAGGCAGCTGGAGGCCTTCAAAGTGGAGTGGAGGATGGTTTGAACCAGGCTCACAATCTACAGAAGCTTCTAGGGACCAGCATTGTCAGCAGAGGCAGGTTGGGGCCACTTAGAAGTTGGGACTCTGTGGCCCTTCTATGATCACAGATCCCACTCTTTTTCTCCCTTGCTTTCCCTTTCTGCTAGGACCTACTGTTCCTACTGGGCATCCTCAAAAACATGGCCTACATCTGTGCTTTGAGGCTGTAGAACACTTCCTGTAGCAGGGATCTCAAACTCAGAGGCCTCCTGAGCTGGGCAGAGAGCTAACAGGCTGACCCAGCTCTGAGGAAAGCACACAGCCTTCTCTCAGGCTCTCACTGCTGATAGAGGTTGATTTCTTCCTCTACACTGAGAAACACATAAGGGAGATGTGATGATAAGCAACACCTGCCCATGGGAGATGGCGAGCTTGCTATCCAAGAGTGGTCCTGTCCTGTGAGGCTGGGAGTGTAGCTCAGTGGTAAAGCACTCTTGCAGGCTAGACAAGTAAAAATAAATATCTGGTTCCAATTCTTGTCCTACTACTCTCTGGCCACATTGGCAAAGCTCTAGTTTTTCTGAGCCTATTTCCTTATCAGCAAGCAAAATGGTAGCACCTCTCAGGACTGTGGTGCAAAATAAATAAGATAGCATAAGGAGCTGGGCTCGGTGGTGTACACCTGTGATCCCAGCAACTTGAAAGGCTGAAGTAGAAAGATCTCAAGTTCGAGGCCAACCTCAGGAATTTAGGGAGGCCCTAAGCAACTTAGTGAGACCCTGACTCAAAAATAAAAAAATAAAAATGGCTAAGGATATAGCTCAGTGGTAGAAAGCCCCTAGGTTTAATCCTCAGTAAGCCCTGCCCACCCTCCAACAAAAAAAGACAATATAGGAAGTGGGCCCAGGGCTGCACTAATCTGCCACTTTTCAAAAGAACCCAGAAATCTGGATTATTTACTTATTTACTTCATTTTTGCACCAGGGATTGAACCCAGGAGCAATTTACCACTGAGCCACATCCTTTTTAAAATAGAGACAAGTTCTTGCTGAATTGTTTAGCGCCTCGCCAAGTTGCTGAGGCTGGCTTTGAACTTGAGATCCTCCTGCTTCAGCCTCCAAAGCTGTTGGGATTACAGACGCACACCACCCTGCCTGGCCAAAATCTGGATTTTTATGTAGCATTGTCCACWTTGAAAATATTAGCTCAAATCCTATCAAAAAGCTAGTGCTAGGGGCTGGAGATGTAGCTCAGTCGTAGAGTCCTTTCATATATGAGATTCTATGTTCCATCCCCAGCACCATTAAAAAAAGAAGAAAAACAAAACCCAATGAAAACAACAACAACAAAAAMCCCCAAATGAATGTACCTTCCAGTTCAGTTTGGCCTGAGGGCCCCCAGCTGAGACCTCTTTATTTTAATCATCTCATATTCTTAGGGGTGGGAAATCTGCCAAATTTTCCTATAAAAAGCTTGATAGTAAACACGTTGAGCTTTGCAGACTCAAAGTAACCATAGACATTTGTATGTCAACAAATGGCCATAGTTGCATATATATAAAACTTAACTTTATGGGCACTGAAACTTGAATTTTCTTTTCACATCATGCACTATTATTCTTTTTTTTTTCCAACCATTTAAAAATATAAGAGGGCTGGGGTTGTGGCTCAGTGGTAGAGTGCTCGCCTGGCATGTGCGAGGCCCTGGGTTCGATCTTCAGCACTACATATAAATAAAGGTATCGTGTGCAACTACAACTAAAAAACAAATAAATATTTTAAAAAACAAAGAGCCGAGCTGGGGTCATAGCTTGGTGGTAGAGTGCTTACCTAGCATGTGTGAGGCACTGGGGATGATTCTCAGCACTGTATCTAAATAAATACATAAAATAAAGGTCCGTTGCAATTAAAAAAAAATTTAAATGTAAAAGCTGTTAGCTTTGGGGCCCTACAAAAACAAGTAGCAACCAATGAGATCTGACCTATAGGCCACACGTAGCTTGTAGGCCCCTATTCAGGAGGATGTCCACCTGTCCTTACCCTGGCCCAGACCTATCTGCTTGCTTTCYTCATCCCCTTAGGGAAACAGCATGCACCTGTGGTGGGGGCTGCACTCAGGCTGCTGGGAGAGGCCCCCTTTCCTGTTCTGCATAAAGACTGCCCTGGTCTGGCCTGACCCAGCCCAACAGGGATGTCAGGCCTGGATACCTGGAGCCCTTAACCCTTTAGGTCCCACTCACCCATCTCTTGCCCTCTGCTTACAGAAGCACCCAGGAGACTACAGCAACTTCGACTTGGAGTTCCTGAAGGAGAAACCGCGCCTCTCCTTTAGTGACAAGAACCTCATCGACTCCATGGACCAGACAGCATTCGCCGGCTTCTCCTTTGTAAACCCCAGATTTGAGCACCTCTTGGAAAACTAAGGCTCCCAGACAGGCCCTCCACCCCCCTGGGCAGAGCAGGCTAGCCCACCCTCATCTGCACCTGCCGCTGCCCCTGGTAAGCAGCAGTGTGATTGTCTTCTGCTGCTGCCCTCTTTTCCCCAGAGGGGCTCGGCTCCTGCTGGCTGGGCTCTTATGGTACTTCCTCTGTGAACTGTGTGTGAATTTGCTTTTCCTCTGCCCTCAGAGGGAAATTGTAAATCCTGTGTTTCATTACTTGAATGTAGTTATCTATTGAAAATATATATAT